GCTGAATCAGGGAGGCCTGGGGCAGAGCCGAACTATCAGAAGGGGGGGGCTATGAGGGGTCTGGGGTGGCATCCCACCCAACCCCACCCTTCTCATAGCCCCCCCTTCTGATAGTCCGGCATATCTGATAATCTGGCATCCCCTATGTCCTAAAGGTGCTGGATTATCGGAATTTTACTGTACAAGGTATCTGTGTGACACAATAGCTCCTCTTCCAATCTTTTCTGCTTTAAAAACACAACAACCGAGTTAAAACATTTGAGAGTTCATTTTTTTTCTCCACAGCTATAATTTCTTGCCTCACAAAAAAGATTTTTTTTAATCTGTATTAGGGACACCAGCTGTTTCCAAGGGTGCAAATAAATTTCTTAATGTAAATTTACTTTAAGAGCTTCTTATAACAGCTGGGTATTCTTTAAATGTTGTAAATAAATTACCAATATACTATTACAGGTTGTACCTCCCTTAACCGAGACACACTGTCTGGCAACATCCGTGGTCTGGCATGGACCATGGATGTTCCTGGACCAGAGAGCCCAGGAAGAGGGAGGTCTGGTGGCTGGGCAGAAGCACCATAATGGGGGGACAGACAGATGGCATTGTGGGGAGTTCTGTCCCCAACAGAGCTCCCTGGCTCCAGTAACCGGGTAGCTCTAGCCTGGTCACGGCCATGGACAGGGAGCTCTGACCCCAGTGGCAACCAGGGAGCTCTAACCCTTTCTCCAAAATGGAGCTCCGGATGCGTTCTGGCTCCAGCAGCTGAGTAACTCCAGCCCCAGTGACAGCCACGTAACTCCGTCCCGGCTGTGCAGCTCAGGCTGTGGTGCTCCAGCTGCAGGAGCAGTGGGGCCATGGAGAGCCCTGGCAAACTGGGGTAGCAGCGGGGGCAAGCTGGAGCCCTAGCCTAGTGGCTGCACATGCCACGTGGGGGAGAATGGGGGACCTTCCCTGGTCCGGCAAGTCCCCTCGTTCAGGACCAGTCAGGTCCCAAGGGTGCCAGACCAGCAAGGTCCAACATGTATTTCTAAAAAGTTTATTAATATTGTATATCAAGAAAACACTTATTGTAAACAATCATCTTAATTTGTAAATATTGATAAACTTTGAGAACTTTTTACTTAAGATTAGAAGTTACGATGTTTATTTTGTGATCTTTATTTGTACCATTATCACCCACTAATGGCTTATGCGAGAAAGAATCCTAAATGTAAAAAGAAAATGCTTTTTTGCCTATCAGTATAAAAGTGCCATATAAAGGGGAAAAAAATCCCATAGATAATATATTATATGTTGGGAAAAAATTGTAATTGGTCAAAGTCTGAACCACTACGACAGATATGCTTCCAGGAAAATATAGTACTTTAGATGTCAAGGTGACCTTACCGTCAAATTGATCTTCTCCCTCAGTCATTAATTCATCATCAGAGCAAATGCTGAGAACGTTCACCAACATTTCTGTTACTGTGTTCAGAAGAATAATAATGAATGAATTGGGTGTACACTGCTACTTATTCCATTCATGTGTGAGGTGTTACAAATTGTCTGCACTTACAACTGACAAAATTTTTCACTCCAGTACGTATTTGTTCAGCTCTCAGCAATCGGCTTTTCCTAATGTGCACATTCATGGAACATAACACAACAAAATGACAAAGTCCTGCAATAACTTCACAGGCTTCCCTCTTTTCCCACTTACATTCCCAGCATGTGTGCAGTTTTACTAACCAAAATGGAAAGAATGTTTGCCCAGCCGATCTTGATTTTAGGTGCCTTTGAAATATAAAATGTTAATTGTCATGACTGGAAATGCTTTGATATAAAAGAGCAGTTTACTGAAACTAGAATTGGTGATCTATTGGGATTACTATGGTGATCCACTTTGAATTATGAGCTTTGTTTAAGTTAGCTATAAAAGATTAGGGCAACAAAAGGATTCACTGGGGAGTAATAACAACAGTAAAATGGAGATAAAGCTGAAAAATGCCAAAATATAAATTAAGTAGGTCTGAAAAGAAAATTTTATAAACACACAAAATATTTCTACATGAGCTGAAAGGCAATGGACCCTGCTGCCTTTATTTTCTCATGAACACTATGATAATTTAAAATGGATTTGCCATAAATTTCTTCCAACTGACAAAGTTAGATTTAACCTTCGGATTAAAATGAATTTTCTTGCATTTCTGAAAGCCAACAGAAAAAAAATACAAGGGCCTTTACTAACTTGCACTGTGCACCCACTACTGCAACACAAGGGCCTTTACTAACTTGCACTGTGGTTGCAGTAGTGGGTGCACAATCACTGGACAAAAAAAATGCTGACATTAACCTTATCTAATAACCAAAACCTCAAGTGAGCAAAATCAAATAATATCCCAAATAAACAATGAACGGTTAAAAATAATCCACATGTTCATCAGCTACCCTCTCAGTGTCTTTCAAACCACATAAAGAATATATTTATTGTATTTAATAATAAATTGTCCAAAAAGTCACTATGTAAATTCTTGATGTTTAGATTTCATCACAACATGAACAGAAAACTTTCCAACTCTCATTCTTTTATTTCAAAAGCATAATTTGCTACATACACTGAGTATATTAAAAAAAAATCTACATTATCTGATTGTGATTTCTCTCAGAAGGGAATATTAACCCAAATCTAGAGTCCTGCATTTATGCAACTTGTCTCAGGAGTACTTTTCAGATATATCCTCTTCACCAAGATACTGTAGTATATATTGGTGGGATGTTGAACAGGACAACCTAATGTCCATCCACAACTGCTTTTTACTTAAACCTACCTGGAGTCCAACTGTCCTACATTTAAAATTGCTAGCTCTGGAGGGAGGGAGGTAGAATGGAGATATAATTGTTCTCCTAAAATATAATTGTAATAGATATGTAAAAATTGCCCTTCAAAGGTAAATCTTTGGACACTGTAGAATGTTAAAAGAACATCCATCTTAACTAGACAATAATTAAGAGTTCTATGTCAAAGATCACTTTTTGAAATTATGGGCAACCCAGGTTCTACCCCACCCTTTCCGCCAAAGCCCACCTACTCCATTCCCCTCCCTCCCCTCACTTTCACCTGGCTGGGGCAAGGGATTCGGGTGCAGGCTCAGACAGAGTATCCGTGGCAGAGTTTTGGGGTGCAGGAGCAAGGAGTGCAAGCTCTGGGAGTTTGCCCCAGCCCGGAGCTCCCTCCAACACCTGAACTCACTCCCCAAGCCCACATCCCTCACACCCCTCTGTACCCAATGCTCTGGGAGGGAGTTTGGGTGCTGGAGAGGGCTTTAGGCAGTGTACTGGGGTGAAAGAGAGAGGAGTGCAAGCTCTGGGAGGGAGTTTGCCTCAGTCTGGAGTCCCCTCCTACACCCAAACTCTCTCTCAGAGCTTGCGCCCAACACTCTGGGTGCAGAAGGGAGCTCCAAGCTGGGGTAGAGCACTGGGTGCAGGTGGTGGTGAGGAGTGTGGCCTTTTGAAGGGAGTTTGGGTGCAGGAGGCTAGCACAGAACAGGAGGGCGTAGGCTGCAGTCAGGAAGCAATCACTACAGGTAACCACATGCTGCCCCTGGAAATGTTGGCTGGCTGAGTTCAGACACCCTCTGTGTGAGACACCTGTGTGCGGGGGAGCCCTCCATGCTACTGCATGGTGGCTGCAAGTGACACCCCCATTAATCAGTTCCCAGCCGACAGAAGCTGCTTGGACAGTGCCGTAGGTGGAAGCAGCACGGAGCTGACTCCCCACCCTTTCTTCCTTGCAGGAGCTGCAGACACTGCTTCTGGGAGCAGCGTGGGGCCAGGCAGGCACAGACAACTTCTATCTGAGGATTGCAACCGACTGGCAGAGGTTCCAGGATTTACCAGTCAATGACTATCGACAGGCTGGTGACCACTATTCTATGCCACGTAAGATTAGTAAAGTGTGACAGATTATGATGCAGAACAGAAATAGTTTATTGATACTGTGTGTTGCTTCAGAGATCTACTTCAGAAGGAAGGGGGGGGTTCATTAAAACTATGCAGACTAGTGCCTTTATACCTTCTAAACACATCTATTCGGTCTTCTGTTCCGTCAGACAAAATTCAACTACCTGTCAAAAGCCAGGTGAAAAAGAGAACTACCAGTTGTACACAGAGGGCTCATCTAGATTACACTGAAGTTTCGAAAGAGGAGATGCAAATTATCTTCTTCCAATCTCACTTTCGAAAGCAGAGCTTTCAAAAGTGAAAGTAGTCAGGACATGGTTTTTTCGGCAACCCCCCCCAAAGTAGTCAGGACGTGGTTTTTTCGGCAACCCCCCCTTTTGAAAAACTGCGTAAACTTCATTTTCTGAGGCACAGTGGCTTTTCGAAAAGGGGGGGTGCTGAAAAACCGCATCCCAACTACTTTCACTTTCAAAAGCCCCGCTTTCGAAGAAGATATGCAAATTCCTGTGGAATTCCTCTTTCGAAACTTCAGCATAGTCTAGATAAGCCCTCTGTCATGTCCCAGATAACAATTCTTCATGAATATGTCACAGGACTTTCACATGGGAGTTACAAAACGGTGCAAAAGATCTTTTGGGGAAAGTGTTCACAAGTCTGCACCTTACTGAGAAAGGGAAAGGATTAGGTTGCAATGATGGACATAGTTCCTTAAGAGAAAGCATGCACTTGTTTTCTTAGATAAACATAAACCTGCACCACCCACACAAAACACAAAGACCTTCATGTATTTTACTTATACAGCATAGTTCTCTACCTTTTTCTCCAACAAATGGCAATGACCAAGTGAAGACATCCATAAAATTTGGTAACCAATAAGGGTGTGGAGAGCAATTGAACTGTCGAATATTCATCACATTATTTTCATATTTTAACACAGCAGCTGCAAAACAACATTTCAAAATTAAGAATTTTTATCCTTAACACTAAGTGTAATAAAAACAAAACTATCGGGAAGATTAGATGATCTTTTCCTATATTTATGATTATATTGCACCCTATGTAAAAATACAGACAAGAGACACTCTATGTTCCTTTACTCATGATTATGAAGGAAGACATTTCTAATCAAGAGCTTTGCTAAGAGGTAATTTTTAAGGAGAATGCAAAATTGCGCTGAGACTTAATAATGGACACAAAAAGAAAAAAAAAAATCAGAAAAAGTGCCATTTCAGGTACTGTCACAAATATCCAACTCAAAATAACAGTCAAACTGGCTCTAAATTTTAATCATCTCACCTTTTAATCAACTAAATGCAGGGTGCACATTCACAATCAAATTTCAGTTTCTTTTCATCACTTTAAAAGCTCTATCTAATTCTGTCCCCTTCTTACTTATGATGCCTAGTCAGGCCTCAGGCTGCCCTCTGTCTCCAGCTGTATCCCACTGTTTTTGCTTCTCTAACACGTCTTTCCATGTCTCCTTCCACACAGCCCGTACTGTCTAGGAAGGAGCATGGCGGAAAGGGATCTAGGGGTCATAGTGGACCACAAGTTGAATATGAGTCAACAGTGTGATGCTGTTGCAAAAAAAGCAAATATGATTTTAGGTTGTATCAACAGGTGTGTTGTAAGCAAAACTCGTGAAGTCATTCTGCCGCTCTATTCTGCACTAGTTAGGCCTCAGCTGGAGTACTGTGTCCAGTTCTGGGCGCCACATTTCAAGAAAGATGTGGAGAAATTGGAAAGGGTACAGAGAAGAGTGACAAGAATGATTAAAGGTCTAGAGAAGCCTATGAAGCCAGGCTTCATGAACTGGGCTTGTTTAGTTTGGAAAAAAGAAGATTAAGGGGGGACATGATAGTGGTTTTCAAATATCTAAAAGGGTGTCACAAGGAGGAAGGTGAAAATTTGTTCCTCTTGGTTTCTGAGGACAGGACATGGAGTAATGGGCTTAAAGTGCAGCAGGGGAGGTTTAGATTGGACATTAGGAAAAAATTCCTAACTGTCAGGGTGGTCAAATATTGGAATAAATTGCCAAGGGAGGTGGTGGAATCTCCCTCTCTGGAGATATTTAAGAACAGGTTAGATAGACATCTGTCAGGGATGGTGTAGACGGAGCTTGGTCCTGCCTTGAGGGCGGGGGGCTGGACTCGATGACCTCTTGGGGTCCCTTCCAGTCCTATTATTCTGTGATTCTATGATTGTGTTGGAAGGATTAGCCAAGAACAGCAGTGGGCAGTAAGTGCCCACTGCTGCTCTATTTACATGGACCTCTGCATGTACTGGAACTTGCAAGCTCCCATTGGATGCAGATTGCCATTCCCAGTTAATGGAGCTATGGGAGGCAGTGTCCCAGTTTGTGCCACTTCCCACAGCTTCCATTCCTGGGAACAGCAATCCATGGCCAACAGGAGCTGCACGTGCGCATACCTGCAGAGGAGCAGGTAAATAAAGTGGTGGCAGCCTAGGGACTACCCCTGGCAAACTGCCTCCAGCTTACTGCCTACCCCTAGCCAAGAGGACCCCATCTCACTTACTCACCTGAGGAAGCAATAGTGACCAAAAAATGACCACTTTTATAGGCCTGGGCATTTCAACTCTACTATATAGTCCTCCATTAGTGGCAGAGATTCTGTAGTAGCAGTCAGCTGATTTTCTGGACATCATGAGGAGAATCTTTTCCATTTTTGGAGATGCATTTTCTATCTCCTGCTGTTTAGTAATACTTGTTTGACTTGTTCCAAGCAGGTTAACTCACTATGATGGAACCATGCAGAAGCCTCACTTTCAGGCAGAGTTTCTTCAGAATTGGTTGAAGGTCATTTGAAAAGGGAGAACTCATGGGACATATATCATGCCCATAACTCGGGTATGACCTTGGCCTCGTCTTGTCTGTATTTTGTGTATTACTCATGGGACCAGAGGGATCAGTGGGAACTTATAGATGTTGCACTCCATGTGATGAGGAATCTTTCACTAAGGGTACGTCTACACTTGCTCCCAAGCTTGAGCTAGGGATGCAAATGTAGCCGACCAAAATTGCTAATGAAGCGGGGATTTAAATATCCCGCACTTCATTAGCATAATCTCGCATTATTCCGCTCACCGGCTGATTCGGACCAGGAAGTGCACTCCGGGACACGTTAGTTCGAATCAAACCCCTTGGTTCAAACTAACGTTACTCCTCATTTTCTGGGAAAAAGAAAGTTCACCCCTTTGGCAGGGATGCAGAATGCTCTGTCTGCACTTTTACACACAGGTGGAATCATGGCTGGCTGTTGACAGACTGGCTCAGCCAGTTCTATTATGGCATTGTTTACAGGTAGTGCTATTTTGGAAGTAGAGGGTGTATGTAGGATCTGTAAGAGTTTATGTTGGTTTTCCTATACTTCTATTAGGATGTCTTGTCTGTGAGCTTCTTGTTTGAAAAATTCCTGGATCTATTTGAAGTCAGCCATAATAGGAGGTAGTGGCCTTATTGCTTCGCCTGGTGAGGATGACAAATTATACTCAGGAGATGTGATATCTTACTCTGTGTCTTATTCTTTTTCATCCCCAATGTCCTGTGCTTCTGATGTCTGTGAAATAGAAGATGTTGTGGTAACTGGATTTCACCTTTAGGAACAGTGGGTGATCTGGTGGGATGACTTCCGTATGCTGTCTAGGGTCCCATGGACCCCATTGTATAGGAAAGCACAATTATGGGGATATCCTGGGGGGTCCATACCATGGTTATGGAGGTACCCATGGTGGTCTCTGATCCAGTGCTCATGAACGGTGGGGCAAAAAGGTGCTTGGTTCTTGGTCCTCATCCTCATCACTTGAGATAGGTGGAGAGATGGTCCTCATCCTCATCACTTGAGATAGGTGGAGAGATGGGGAAAGTATTGTGTCCAATGTTATAATGTTCATATGAGCAATTAGTACCAAACAGCGAGGACTGGGTTCCGAAGAAACTGTGATGTCATTGTGGTGACACCGTTTTTGTGGGGTCATTTCGGTACCACTGATGCTGGTAAGTGTTCCCTCTAATCTTTGCCACCCCTGAACAGAATGAATTCTCTTATGTGCACCAACGTGGAGGGGATGTGCAACATCGCAGAAGAGGCCCAAAGTTCTATTCTGAGTGTGAAAGGGCACTCAGAGCTAGGGCAAAAGATTGGGGTGCAGCAGTGTGAGGGCTTTGGGT